GATTTCTCGCTTTCTGTCTCTCTCTGTCTGGTGAGCACACCACCCTATAGCAAAAACCTCTAAAAAAAAAAAGTACTAAATTCAACAGCCCCTAAAATTATGTGTAGTAAGTACAGTGCTTCCTCAAATTAAAAACAGAAGTACCGTATGACTCAACAATTCCCTTCCTGTGTATATTCCCAAAAGAAATTTAAAAGGAGGTTTTTGAATAAATACCCAGCACAATGCAGCATTATTCGCCATAGCCAAAGGGTAGAAGCAACCCAAGTATCCACTGATGAATGAATGGAAAAACAAAATGTGGCATATACATACAAAAAAATAGCCTTAAGAAAAGAGGTTCTATAGCTTACTACAGTAGGAACCTTAAAGATACTATACTAGGTGAAATAAGCCAGTCACAAGAGGACAAATACAGTTTTCACTTATATGAAGTATCCAGAATAGTCAAAATCAGAGACATAAAATGGAATGGTGATTGCCAAGAGCTAGGAGGAAAGAATGGAGATTTGTTTAATGGGTATTTTTTTTAAAGAACTGTTTAATTTTATTTATCATTTTTTAAAAAAAAAACAAAGAGGGACAGAGAGAGGGAGTGAGAAAGCAAGCCACCAGGTCCAGAACTCGAAATGTGGTCAGTGATCGGACCATCCAGCATCTTAACCACCTTGTCACTTGCTGGCCCCTTAATGAGTATTTTTTTGTTTTGTTTTGGCTATATGCGCTCGCCAGACAGACAGAGAGAGACATAGAGACAGAAAGCGAGAAATCACCCCCCAGGGTGGATGGTCACGCCGCAATCCCTTCTCCTCCATTCTTTTCTTGGGATCTTGGGCGAGCACGCACGCACACGCGCCCGGTGTTTTAAGTCACCGGGTCCAGGACGCGAACTGCAGTCGACTACGTGGGAGTCCAGCGAAATAGCCATTACGCTAACTGCTGGTTCTCCTTAATGAGTAGTTTTGCAAAATAAAAAGATTTCTGGAGATGGTTGATGTTGATGGTTGCACATTATGAATGTATTCAATGACTCTGAACACTTAAAAATAGGTAAAATGGGCTGGCAGGTGGCATGGTGGTTAAAGATGCTGTTTGAGTCTTGGACTACGTGGCTTTTCTCTTTCCCTCTTCTGTCTATGTTCTAATTAAAAAATAATAACAACAAATGGAGTTAAATAAATTAATCTTTACAAAAAGTTAAAATGGTAAATTTTATGTACAATTTTATTTAAAGAAAAAGTGATTCTGTAACACCCTATCCAAGCTGTCAAAGTTAACCATCACTAACCCTTGCATAGACTGAAGACTGTGTTCTTGGGAGAAATATGCTTAATTATGTGGGCAAGAGGTAGGGGAGGGTGTCAAGGGGGCAAGCTCTCAGAAAGTTCTGATGAGAATTAACATATAAGATAATACAGTAAACATGCAAAATGTTTTCACTTGGTAATGAAGGGTAATATGCAAATTTACTATTATAAACTGGAAATATTTCCAAAATTAAAAATTATTCAGCTGGCCAAGTGTTAATATGCCATAAAATAAACCACATGAAGGAACATTTATATAGAAACCGGTATTTATTTTTTTGGTTTGCTTTTTGCCATAGGGCATGTACGCTCACCAGGAAGACAAGGAGAGGGAATGAGAAACCACTCCTCAGGGAGAATGGACCCACAGCAATCCCTTCTCCTCCATTCCCTCTGGGACTTTGGGCACTCATGCACATGTGCCCAGCACTGAGTCTCAAGCCTCTAGGTGTGCTAATTCTCAAGCCTCTAGGTTCAGGACTCAAACAGTGGTTGGCCATGTGGGAGTCCAAAGCCTTAACCACCACATCACCTGCTGGCCCCAGTAATTTTTCTTTTAAACTTAGCACAAGAGAATCTCTTATCATTTAAAATTCCCCAGGTATGACCATCACTTTATATCAAGAATCTTACCCCTCATAAACATGTTAAGATAACTGGAATTGGAAATATGTTAATATAAAATGTCACGTTTCTTACAAATGACTTTTTTTTGAGAGGTTTTTGCTATAGGGCATGTGCACTCACCAGAAAGACAGAGACAGAGAGACAGAAAGTGAGAAATCACCCCTCAGGGGGCATGGCCATGCCACAATCCCTTCTCCTACATTCTCCTCTCAGGATCTTGGGCATGCACGCACATGTACCCGGTGTGAGTTTAAGCCACCAGGTCTGGGACTCAAACTGCAGTCGACTACATGGGAGTCCAGCAACATAGCCATTCACCAACTGCTGGTCCCACGAATGACTTTCTTGACTTTAGAATTTAATGACCAACACCTGACAGCTTCACTACATGACTACTTTTTGGTTCTTAAGTGATTTTTGAGATTATTTTTTATCAAATACCACTACATAAAAGTTTCACTTTTTGTCTCCATCCAGTGGTTAGCTTTTAGCTTGTAATGCCTTTATGTACCCGAGTTTAAGTAACAGAGTAGGTTCTGTTCTGAGTTCTTGAGTAAAGTGTTTTAGTGCATAAGGTTCATTTTGGCCAAAGACCTTTACAGCCACCAGTATTTTTCTGTGTCTTTAAAAATAAAGGCTGCAATTTGTGAGTAGGATTTCCGTAATTAAAACAAGTTACTGAGGAAATTTTCTTGGGCTTAGTCATATTGACCTCTCAGAGATTGTAAGTCTACAGATACTGTTTAAAATAACTACTACTACTAACAAAATTACCACAATATGCAGCATACCTTTCACTCTTTTGTCTCCTCTAAATGTTCAACTACTATATGCAACTGGTATAGTGACTTAAAATTACTTTTATATGTCTCCTAAGGCAGGATTTCTTGAACTCCCCCCCATTATAACCTACCCTCCCTGAGAAAAATTTAAACTTATTAAGATAAAGTAATTATAGGGGCCAGCAGATGGTGTGGTAGTTAAAGGCACTGGATTCCCACATGGACAAACTACGGTTCAAGTCCTGAACCTGGAGGCTAGCTTTCTCACTTTCTCTCTCTCTGGTCAAATTAAAATTAAAAAGTGTATAATAAAGATAAAATAATTGCTTAAAAAAAAGAGATAAGGTCATTATTCCCAGAGACATTAAAATTTTGCTGGTGGGGCTAGCAGGTGATACGGCGGTTAAGGCAGTGGAGTCCCACATGGCTGACCAATTTTAGTCTCGGACCTGGCAGCTTGCTTTCTCACTTTTCCTTTCTCTCTGGTCCAATTAAGTAATAAATAAAAATGAAATAATTTTCATAAAGATTATGCTAGAATTCCTTTTTAGACCCCAACCGAAATACAATTAAATTCTGGTACCAAAGACTGATAGAGCATCAGACTCCATTGATTTTAAGAGTTCAGTCCTCCACAAGATTGCCTCAGCAACAAGTGAAGTTCACGGGTTTTCACAACTTATGGCTTACTACTAATCTGGGGTTCCTATGACCCTCTCAGTTCCAAGAATTTGCTAACATGACTCACAGAACACAGGAAAGCAGTTTTCCTATGAAGCACTATACTTACGTGATAATTAGCTTTATAAATTATGGGATACCAATTAAGGGAGGCAGCCAAATGGAGGAGGAAAAGGTATGGAAGGAAATGCAGAACTGTCAATCCCCTTTTGGAGTCAGGCTCCTCAGGCTACCTGCAAATCAATGTGTTCAACAACCAAGTTCCACTGAACACAGATATCCAGAGCTCTTAATCAGGGCTTCATTACTCAGGCATGGCTAATTAAATGGGCCCACATGGCTGACCTGGTCCAAGTGGCCCTTTCAAAGCCCAAATGTGAGATGACCACTTGACATACTAAGTCCCAAGCCTGGAATTTCTAAGAAGTTCTTTTTGGTAACTATCTTCCTCTCAGAGGCCCAGCCTGGCCCACTTCGTTAGCATAACAAAGATATCCCACCAAGGGTTTTAAAGCTCTAAGTTCTAAATTTTGAAAAGTCATGAACTGTAAAATCTTAAGATTTTTTTCCCACCCACCAAAACCCACTTTTGGCCACTGCTGGGAATGTGTCTTAAGACAATGAAAAGACAGCCCCCCAAAACCAGAAAGAAATTTTATTGTGTAAAGTTTAATAGAAGTATGACTAATATTCCTCTGTACAAAGTACACCAGTTTTAAATACAACTGAAAGAAACATGAATCCTATGACAACATTTGATACAAGCTGAACCATTTACAGACACACTAAAAAAATTTTAAAACACATCTCCTTTCTCCAAAGAGTCCACTGTGTATTTCTCAGAGATGGGGACATTTCCCAGGCGAGATCACAATGGCATTTTATTGCCCTCGATGCTGATTTTCACTGCATGTGCAGATCTGCTTTTTTTCCTGATGTCTGTGAACTTTCTCATCTGTTTATCCAGTCGACTGATACCTTTCTTGGAGGTCGCCTGAAACTAAGAGTGGGGAAAAAATTAAAGAGCAAATTATTGAAATACATAAATGTAGTTTTGTCTTTCATCTTTTTATATCTGAAAGTTAGCAGTGAGAAGAGCTCCAAGCTCTAAAATAACAAGAATTTGGTGACTTTGGGAAGAAAAAAGCAAATGTTAAAAACACATTACACTCTTGAAATGAAGGGCGATTTTGTTGTTGTCTGTACCTTATTTCTAATTTTGCTGCAGTCTATTGAAATATCCTAGATGAGAGAAAGGAGGAAATACTGAGACTTGTTACCTTTTAACTGCATGCTTTTCCCTTTCAAAGCCCAAATACAAGCTGATCACTTGATATACACTCTCAAATAGTGCTGTCATAAATATAAGCTGATCACTTGATATACACTCTCAAACAGTGCTGTCATAAACAAGAATGTTCTTCTAAAGCAAAGCCAATTCAAGTGATGAAAAGCCTTGAGTACAATCAATGAAGTTAGAGGATTAGTGAAGCTAGAGCTCCAGTTTCAGACTTGGGGTGAACCCCTGCTTTGGCTCAGCAAACCACACCACTGGTCTATTCTATTTATCTGACTGCTGGAAGAATGATGATGTCAAATACATGCATTGAGGGTAGCACATAGCCAGTGTTCAAAATGAGTGTGAGCAGTTACTTTTACTACAACTTCACAATCAGCTTGATGTATGTCAACTAAGTATACTTGATACAAAAAGAAAATTAAGTCCCTTCTTGTTTGACCTTTGTATCGAAAGATTTGGTTGTTAGGTTATTTCTATTTTGAAAAGACAGTATGTCTTCAAGGTTGTGGTCTGCAAGAAATCCATCCCTTTTAGAAATAACGGAAAGGTCCACCACTGATGCCAATGAACATGCAAATAAACTCTTTTTGCTGACTGTGTTGCTAATAATTCAGATACATTGGGTCATTGGAAAAGTCATGACGTATTTTTTCATATTTTTCTATGCAAAAATACATTGTGACTTTTCCAATATCCCAATATATAGCGAGTAGTTAAAAAGAAATGGGGTTCCTAATTCTCCTTCCTAGGTGTTTACAACTAAATCACCTTTGAAGCTCAATTTAGAACAATACTGAAACAAGGCAGGGCTGGAGAGACTCCAGGGTCAGTACCAGTATGGGGTTATGAGTCTGACGTCTTCCAAGTCTTGTCCCACAAACAGACTCAGCCCCATCCCTTAACAAGAGCCAAGCCGACCATCCACCCTAGATCTAGAACATCCTAATTTCAAATATTCTGCAATCTCAGTACTTGGTATTAGTACCCTTGAGTTGGCAAAAAAATAGTCAGATGAGTAAGAGTTATGTATGCCACAATCACAATACTCCCCTGACCCCCAATTTCCCAAACAGTCCACAAGAGCAGAATTCTGTTCAGATGATATGCCCTGACATGAGAATCAGTAGTCAGTTCATTCTGTGAACCTTATAGCTCAAAGCTCTAATAATTCCCAGTTTAGCTCCAGACACCAACCTCGACTTCTCTTTTAAATTTACTTTTATTTTTTAAAATGAGAAATCACCCCACCACACATCTTTTCTCTTCCATTCTCCTCTTTGGATTTTGGGCATAAATGTATAAGCGCCTGGTGTGATTTTCAAGCGTTTGGTGTAATTTTCAAGCAGCTGGGAACCAAACCATGGTCAACCATGTGGCTAAAACTAAGAGTGGGGGGGAACCAGCAGTTAGTGCAATGGCTATGTCGCTGGACTTCCACGTAGTCGACTGCAGTTCGTGTCCCGTACCCAGTGGCTTAAAACTCACGCCGGGCGCATGTGCATGCATGCCCAAGATCCTGAGAGGAGAACGGAGGAGAAGGGACTGCGGCGTGACCACCCCTGGGGGGCGATTTCTCACTTTCTGTCTCTATGTCTCTCTCTCTCTGTCTGGCGAGCGCACGCGCCCTGTAGCGAAAACCACTAAAAAGAAAACCCCAAAAAAACCAAAGAAAACTAAGAGTGGGGGAAAAAAGAGCAAATTATTAAAATACATAAATGTAGTTTTGTCTTTTAGCACCTTAACCACCAGGTCACCTGCTAGCCCTAGACTTCTCTTTGCACACTTCTAGGACCTTCTCTAATAGTTTGAGTTCTGATGGCTCTGCCTAGGCTCAGCAGTGGGAACCCAGGCCAGCGCTATTCTATTCCCAGTTCAGCATGTATAATTTGTAGCTGAAAGATACTTACTTACCCCAGCCTGAAAAAAAACAGACCACAGTACCTACTATGACAAATTCAATGATCTCCTGCCTGAATCAACTATGTATCACATTTCCTCAGGACATTACAAATGTATGCTGCAGTGTTCTATCAGAGAAAACTCAAGTTTAAAAGACTAGCAAGATGGAAATTATGGCACAATTGTATGACCTTTTTTTTTGGGAGAGGTTTTTGCTATAAGGTGCGTGTGGTCACCAGAAAGACAGAGACAGAGAGACAGAAAGCGAGAAATCACCCCCCAGGGGAGATGGCCATGCCACAATCCCTTCTTCTCCATTCTCCTCTCGGGATCTTGGGTATGAATACACATGCACCTGGCGTGATTTTAAGCCACCGGGTCTGGGACTCAAACTGTGGTCAACGACATGGGAGTCCAGTGACATAGCCATTACGCCAACTGCTGGTCCCTGTATGACATTATTAAATCATTGAAGAATATTTACACTGAATGACATTACACTGGATAGTTACCATGATAAATTAAAACCAAACCAACCCACTACAATTTGAAGGACACACAAAAAAATAATTCATATGCTGAGATTTGATTCTTACTGTTAGATTAAGAGAATAAGAATGTAAATCTAACTATGGTATTGAAATGGTGGGACCTTTGGGAAGAGATTAAGATTAGTTAAAATGCCAAGATTGCTTCCTGGTAGTTCTATGCAAGGATGTCAGAAAGTTCATGGAAAATGGAATTAAAGTATGCATTTGGGCCTGATGGTAGGACAGTGATTAAGGAAGTTAGATCCTACAAGGCCAACAAAGTAATTTGAGTCCTGGGCCCACAGCTTTGAAAATACACCAGGCACATGTCTGTGCATGCTGAAAAATCCAAAATGAGAAATGGAGATGGTACTGTGGTGTGACTCTCTCCCATAGGGAGTGCTTTTCTCATTTTCTATCTCTCTGTCTCTCTCAAACAAGTGCATACACCTCACTGGACTCAACCAAAAAAAAAGTATTTATTAAAAAAAAATTAAATCGGGAACCAGCAGTTAGCGTAATGGCTATGTCGCTGGACTCCCACGTAGTTGACCGCGGTTCGTGTCCCGGACCCGGTGGCTTAAAACTCACGCCAGGCGCGTGTGCGTGCGTGCCCAAGATCCCGAGAGGAGAATGGAGGAGAAGGGATTGCGGCGTGACCATCCCCCCTGGGGGGTGATTTCTCGCTTTCTGTCTCTATGTCTCTCTCTGTCTGTCTGGCGAGCGCACGCGCCCTACAGTGAAAATCTCTCCAAAAATTAAAACAACCCTTTTTTTTTTTTTTTTTTTTTTTTTTATAACAGGCATTTTCTACAAACTTTGTGAAGACCTCTTAAAGAGTATACGCAAACAGATGGCATGCTTTTGCTGTCTCCCTACATAATGTTCCACACTGCCTAGGACTCTGCAGAAAATCTCCACCAAGTGGATGACCCTTGCCAGATAACTTTACCTTGGGCTTTTGAAACCACATGATAAATAAACCTGTATCCTATATAAATTATGTGGTATAAAGTTGTAACAACAAAAAAGCAAACTAAAACAAAACCCAACAAAGTATGAAAGTATGATCACTTTGTGGCTTGAAAAGTTAAACCAAAACTCAAAACAACCCAGTTTACGCACACATGTAAAATGGATCCCAAAGTAATCGAAATGCTAAAAATTGTAGCAGAATTATAGATGTTACATTTCTTTGTGCTTTCTGTTTATTTAGGGACCAGCAAGTGGTGTAATGGTTATGTGGTTGGATTCCCACAAAGTCAACCTCATTTTGAGTTCTATACCTGCTGGTTTAAAAACTCATGCTGGGGGGACCAGCAGTTGGCATAATGGCTATGTTGCTGGACTCCCATGTAGTCAACTGTGGTTCAAGTCCTGGATCTGGTGGCTTAAACTCATGCCGGGTGCATGTGTGTGTGTGCCCAAGATCCTGAGAGGAGAATGGAGAAGGGATTGTGACATGGTCATC